GTTGGAATCGTGGTAAATCCAAAACATATAAACACATACGTCAAAAGTTCCAGACATATTTATGATACTATTATTACAATCATACATAATTGAGTTTCTCATACATACATATTACATTAGTTGTTTTTTTTTTTTTTTTTTTTTAATTATTACAGTTGCCTTTTCCTCATCGGGGGACAGCCATATATTACGGCAACCTACCTACCATCCGTCCTAAGGCTATACATATATAGGGGACCCCTGCAAGCATAGCTTTCTTAGACTACCTCTCTCCGGTGAAGGGAGGGTAGGTAACGGGGGCATGTTTGCCCCTTTGCCCTTGTAGGGTTTAGGGTGCAGGTTTGGGGCCGCCGGTGGGGGCCCGGCTAACACAAGGACCGAGCATTTGCCAGTAATTGTGCCTCCCCCTTTTCATCTTCCCCCACCGCCATGGAGTAACCGTAGTGTCTATAGCCAAGTTGACACTCTACCACACACCACAGGCAACCCACTCACACGCGCACTCACGCCGGTGTTGGCTGAAGACCTTACTAATACCGACTGGGAGGATACAGCTGACTATCTCACTTGGTTGGAACCAAGAGTGCTACAGGCGGCCATGGGGTTTGAACCCACGACCTCCTGCATAGATTCAAAGTTTTTTTTTTTTTTTTTTTTTTTTTTTTTTTTTGCTGTTTAAATCGGCATTCCGTTTCAATTCGTTATTCGGACTTATTCTTTGGATTTCTGTTTTAATCTGGTCTTCAGGGTCTGTCTCTTATACACATCTAGATGTGTATAAGAGACANAAAGTTTTTTTTTTTTTTTTTTTTTTTTTTTTGATTCAAAGTTTCAAACATACTATTGTAAAAAAATTGGAAGTCGTATAAATATTAAATATAATTATTAAAATTTCGACGACTATTATTTCTCGATCTTCTTGTGTCATCCAGGGGCCATGCTAATCTTCTCCGTATAGTTGCAAATTTGAACCACCAGTACTTGGCCCAGCTATCGGCCGCGGAGAAAAAATAGAGTAGAAACGTTTCTAGTTGGATGAATTTGGGCGCTCCTGTAGTGTCCCGTACATTTCCTAAAATCGTGGCGCGTTAACAGGCACGACTTTAGGAAGTACTGGTGGTTTAAAGCTGCACCAGTACATGGGCACCTCAGGCTGATTTTAGGAAACGGGCCACTACAGGAGCGCCCAAATTCATCCAACTAGAAACGTTTCTACTCTATTTTTTCCGCAGCCAATAGCTGGGCCAAGTACTGGTGGTTTAAATTATGGAGGCGCCAAACGAAAACGCGACCCCCCATCAACTTTGGGCCAGATCCCACTGGCAAAGAGGATTGGAATAAGTGCCTGAATCCGGACGTGTTCCACGCAGAGATGCAGAAAAGCAGATCAATTACAGTTTTTTGCACCTCCACAAACACGTCCAGATTCAGACACTTATTCCAATCGTGTTTGCCAGTGGGATCTCGCCCTTTGTCAACGCTGGGGCCAGCATTTGACGTTTCGGCCTCGTTTTCTTGCGGCGACAAGTTTCGGACTGCAAGGCTGGGGCCGTGTACTTGTGAAATTAATTAATGGATGGAGTTTAGGGTAAATTTATAAACTTATAAAGTCACTATAAACACATTCATTCAGAGCTCCATATGGATTATAATAATCATAGGTATACATCAACCTCTCTAATGCCTAAGCTGCACAGTGGACCTCGTCAGACGCTTCTCAGCGTGGCCGGGCAAAACATTGCCTGGAGTCCCATTGCTGCCCTGGTTGCTTCAGGAAAAGCGATTTTGGTTTCGTTCTGTTTTTTGTCCGTCGAGCAGCAGGGCCGAGGTCCCACTAGTAAAAAGGGTAGGATCGAGTTCCTGAATCTGGATGTGTTTTAAGCAGAGATGCAGAAAAGCAGTTCAATCTCGATTTCCTGCACATCTCCATAAACTCGTCCAGATTCTGGCATTCGATCCGATCCTCTTTGCCAGTGGGACCACGCCCCAGGTGTAGTAACATCCAAATATGGGGGGCTCCTTGGTGTGCGTAATGTATTTTTTTATTTTTTTTATTTTTTTATTTTTTTATTTTTTTTTGATCCAAAGGGCAGCCAGATGTCGTATGATCCAGGCATGCTGACCTGGTCTCTGAGTCTTTTGTAAAAAAGAAAAAAATTATAAAATAAAAAAATATGGGGTTAACAATACAGCTTGGGCTTGGTAAGCAAGAGGTGAAGTGCTCGACTTCCTCCCGTTGGGCCATTTCCAATCGGCGTTTTCAAGGTGCCGTTTTGTCTGCTGGGTTTCCCTGTTTTTTTTTTTTTTTTGGTTCCGCAATTATCAGATCAGGCCTTTTCCTGTGGGTCCGGGCTTTTGAAACAGCACCACGTGTTTATATTATATTTTAGTACATGATAGGGATGGTCCAGCACTAGCACTGTGGGGGGTGTTTAAAAAAAAAAAAAAAAAAAAAAAAAAAAAAAAAAAAAAAAAAAAGGGATGGTCTATATGACAAGGATGACGGTCTATACAACAAGCCTTGGTGATAATCCATATGATAGGGATAGTCTATACTACAGAGATGGAGAGCGATGGCCGAGATAACTTCTGAGCAAGGAATGGTGCTAAACAAAATAATAGCTAGGAATTATTTTAAAAGACATTAGCTTCACAGACTGCACTGTGTGGACTCTCGCCGATCAAGTCGCGTTTTTTGTAAGTAACCTGACGTTATCACCCCACTGTCAGACTGACATACTGTGACAGAGTATAAAAAATTGTATTAAAAAAAAAAAAAGATTGTGCTGGCAAACTACAAAGAATCGACGGGACATTTTACCTCCAGATGCGTAAGAGGAAGTTGCGAACATACCCCTAGTCCAATGCACCAACTCCTTTTCTGTCCCTGTCTAACGATACCTCTCCAAACAAAACAAGCGATCAGGTATATTATGTGCATATAAGGATATCCACAGACAAAATTTATTTTTACACAGCGTAATTAACATATTGTATCAGCAAATTTAAAATCATCGACAAGCGGTTTGACACCCAGATACACAAAGTGAAATTACAAATATACCCTTGGCTTGATGGACCAATTGCATATATGCCCCTATCTATAGACATCCCTCCGTCACGCGCACACTGTCAGTTACATTATGTATAATATTGTATATAGGTAGTTCAGGTAATTTTTCAAAACGAAAAAGAAAAAGAAAAAGAAAAAGAAAAAAACTTAAAAAAAGGTATATTACCGTATATATGACTGCACATGGGAACCACTTAGTAAAGTATGAAGGAGCAATTCCTATAACTCCCTTTGGTTGTGTCGGTAATTGAGTTGCTTTGCATAGATCTAACCCTATAGCTATTCGCTATTCGGCGTATTCGCTATTGGCTATTCGCTATTGGCTATTCTCTATTAGGTGTAGCTAAGGGTCTGGTCAGAGCGTTCCTCCAACTCTTTACGTGGTTGGCCTTACCCTCTTCACCCGAAAACAACACCTCGACATAGGAAATTTGCATATATATTATATACCAACCCAGACAATCTTTTTCAAATGTTCTTTTAAAAAAAAAATCATACGAACACAAGATTTCGAGTTTTAATCGATATTTGTGGAGTTGATTATCCTTCTCGAAAAGAGAGCATATTTGGACTGGAATAAATTAAATTCCAAACATTGTACGATGATGATGATAATGATCGAGGTGAAAACATGAGCACTGGGCCAATCTTTAGAAGTAGCCAAACAAAGACTGGGCTATTGCTAGGTGCCTTTAATCGTCGCCTGAAAATGTGGCCATGCATATTTGGGATGGACAGTTACAAAAGTAGTAGGGGAAAAAAAAAAAAAAAAAAAAAAAAAAAAAAAAAAAAACAGTAGTCATGGTCGTAAACCACCCTGACGGAGTCAAATGAACCTCTCCTAAAAGTTAGGGGACTTGCCCCACGTCAGGCCTGAGGGCGGGCGGCAATTCTTTTCTGTCTCGCGTGGTGCCAGTGCCCACCCTGCGGCGTGGGACAAAAAATTCCCCGCCCGCCCCCAGGCCCGCTGTGGGGCGAGTCCCCTCCTAACTTTTAGGAGCGGCTCTTTTGACTTCTCAACCTGGGCTGGGCCATGTACTGGCTGTTTTAAACCACCAGTACATCGCCCAGCCTGCAAAAATTGTCCCGGCCGTTAACTTTCGGGGGCCCACGGCCGTCGAGATTTCGCATCGACAGTCCTCGGTGTGGCGCGGGCCTCCAAAAGTTGCGGTGAGGGGCCCGCGGCCAATATATGACCGAGGTACTGATGGTTTAAAACGCCAGTACACGGCCCCACCCTTGCTGAAAAAGAAACTCGTCACCTACGAATATTTCGGTAGGCTCGGCCTACCCGACCACAATGGCTGGCGGCACCAGCCAAAAAAGAAAAAAAGTGCGCCGCTGGCGGTTTGGAAAAGCTTGGCGCGCAGTAAGGATCCTGCAGGCCCGGGGCCCAGGTCCCACTTACCCAAATTCTCCAATTCTGACCGTAGATTACGATGATCAGCGGCCAGACATGAAGAATCAGGGTAAGTGGGACTTGGCCCCGGGTGTACTGGTGGTTTAAGACCATGACCACTAAATGAGTGTGGAGCTGATAATGGTCCCCAATGACTCCCATACATTTCAAATGGTGGATCAGTCCGAATCTATCTGGTCTGTCGAAAAAACAACGAGTCCAGATACATGCAGAACATTGTCTACTTGAGGGAGGCCCTGGGGCCTTTTTTTCCTCTCCTTGAAGAACATTGCTCCGACAACTCCAATCGTTTCGTGGAGAATGCTGGCCACCGATCCCAGTGCCCCTCATTAAAATCTTTCAGAAAAACTGAAATACCAGGGCCCTTAGTTTTTCCTCTTTTTTTTTTTTCCCCCTTTTTTTTTCCCCTTCCATCCGTTCTTTTTTTTTTTTGCTGGGGCTTTGCTGGGGCTTTGCTGGGGCGTTGCTGGGGCTTTGCTGGGGCTTTGCTGGGGCTTGGCACCTCACCTTCTGTTGGCCAATTGGAACTCGCATCAGACTTCCGACTCCTGCCAGTGGGTTGTTTACAATTCGCAACAGGCATGCTCAACTCCGGAGCCTTGCGAAAATCAGAATTCGCATCGCAAACCCTCAACGTTGACTGCTTATCTCGCCAGGTTGCATGAACATTGCTCGACGAGTGGAGAACGCATCCGCATGCACCCTCAACGTCAACGTCTATCGGCGGGTCCACTTTGGCCCCGGACCGAATGTCCCGCAGATCTGTGATATCATCCTTTGGATCCTTTTCCAAATCCGCAGCACGATTCCTGCCGTTGTTCGTCGGACCAACCGCCACACCATCCTTTGATACTTCATCCCCACCATTCTTGACGCGCTGAGCCTTCTCCATGCCCTTCATCAGATGCTGATCAGAGTTGGCAGAGTCTGGAGCATCCTTCAGCTGACCATCCTCCTGGCAACCATACATTACAAACTCCTCCGCCGCATGCTTCCGAGAGTAAGTGGAGGGACAACGATCTCCTCGACCGCCCCCCGTACCATCCGCCGTACCATCCGCACTTTGTTGACCCTCCTCACGCTGCAAATCATCCTGATCTGGATCTCGCTTGACGATCCGAGATTCCATAGCCGCACCTGTGTACCCTTTCGTAGATGAACATCCATCACCGCAGGAGGAAGGGCACCTGTACTTTCTGTAGAGCGACGTAACAAGTGATCGTTCACCCTCGCTCAGAACCATTCCCATGGACTCGGTATGAGATTGCGTCGCGGAGCTGTCTCTGCCGATGCTTTCATTGCATCGCAGCCAACTTGCCGAGCTGATGTCACTCCCATCGGCCATTCTCTCTCTCTCTCTCTCTCTCTCTCTCTCTCTCTCTCTCTCTCTCTCTCTCTCTCTCTCTCTCTCTCT